AAGTAAAGAGGGAGAACCAGAGAGAGGTTGGGAGGCGGTGGGAAAGAGGCAGGCATTCCTGGCTTTGAAGATGGAGGAAGTGTCACAAACCAAGGAATGCAGGCAGCCTCTGAAGCTGGAAAAGGCAAGGAAATGCATTTTTCCCCTAGAGCCTCCAGAAAGGAACATATTCCAGCTGACTCCTTGATTTTTTTTGTTCAGGGAGGTCCATTTTGGACTTCAGACATCCAGGACTGAAAGATAATATTATTGTAGCTTTAAGCCACTAGATTTGTGGTAATTTATTACAGCAGCCTTACAAAACTAATACAAGAAGCCATTAAAGATATTTGAGTGAGGGGGGAGAGGGTCCTTCTGGTGCTGCAAGATTGATGTGAAGGGAGGAATCATGGAGAAGCCAGAACTGGAGCTTGGCCCTATGAGCGCATGCCTGGAAAGGGGATGAAGGCCCAAGGGACAGCTGGGGGCAGCTCCAGGGAGCTGGAGAAGGTCTGGAAGAATGCGGTCTGTTGGCTGAGCTTTGTGTATAAGTTCATGAATCTTTTCCTTTTCTTCCTTTTTATTTTTGAGGTAGGGTCTCACTATGTAGCCCAGGCTGGCCTTGAACTCTTCCCCTGTCTCAGTCTCCCCCATGCTGGGATTACAGATGTGCACCACCACACCCTCAAAGCTTGACTGGCGTCTCCTCCAGCCCCAGCAAAGACCCCTCCCAGCACTTGTCCAGAGTGGGGAGGGAGTCTCCACTCTCCTGGACTCTGACCAAGACTCCAGACTAGGGGCAGACTAGAGCTGTCTCCAGTGAGGGTGACTCTTGGAGCACTTCTGTCAGGGACTGAGCATGGAGAATGAAGCAGCTGAACTCCCTGGGGTCCTGGGCTGGCAGCATGGCCTCCTCACTGAGTGCCCTTCAGCCACCCTTCCCTGGGAGGATCCAGGTAAAAGTGTGTCAATGAAAACAGTAGAGGAGGAAGTGAAGAAACATCTGGGGAACTGAGGGAGGGAAGATAGACCCACACTTACCATTCATTTATTCTTTTGGTCAGCAAGTAAGGAAACAATCCTGAGCTCCTGAGGTGCTGGGGCAGACAGGAGAGTCACGACCTGGGGCTTGCCTGCCAAGAGCTCCCAGCTAGGGTCAAAACAAACATGTTTTTGGTGAGTGACAAGTCTTGTCTGATCACAAAAATTTCAGATATTAGGTCCTACAGAAAGTGACTTATATGGGAGGAGACGTCCTCTTCCCAGTGGAGGAAGTGGCTGGAAATATAGATTGAAGTCTCAGTTTTCTCAACAGTGAATTGTAGGGGCTGTGTTGCCAGATCGCCACACTCTTGTTGCCATCCTATGACCATCCTGACGCTTGTGACTGGCTGACGAGGAGCAATTTGTGGACATACACGTCAGCCCCTCTTGCTCAGCAAGCCTAGAAGCCTGGAGCTCATTGCATGAACTGAGAAAGTACTGAGTTTCCCTGAACTGGGAGAGTGTGGGACAGAGGGGAAGTCGGGAGTGAGGCTGGACGGGAGGACCTGCCAGCTTCCTGGGTCCACTCTGTTCAGCTTTTACATGGAGCCTGTGACAGTACAGCTGGCAGAGCATTCTCTGAACAGCAAAACCCCGTATTCCTGACTAAGCAGAAAAGGTCAGGGCCTCTTGTGTGACCTGAGGACTCTAGAGAAGGGTCCTGACCACTCCCTCAATAAAATCTTCTTCGTTGGTTGGTCCCTTGACCCTTGATACCTCCAAATCCTCCATTCAGAGGAACTGTGTTTCTCATTTAGTCCAGTCCCTCCACTTTCCAGGTACAGATTGAGGCCTACAGAGCTGAGTGACTTACTTAAGGTCAGGTAGTGAGTCAGGTGTGTCCCTTTAAGGAGACGGCTTTATGATGGGTAGCACTTGTTCCTTCAGCCTGGAGGACAGATCTTCCAGACGTGGAGAGGCTTCAGGTCCAGTCCAGCTGTGTCTTCTTTCCTGGCATAAGAACTGTGTCTGGGGTTAGGCTGGGCAAGGCCTGATACGGCAGTTCTGGTGAGCTCCAGGTGACTAGGTGCTGCTGCTCTGCAGGTCACACTTTGACTAGCAAGACTCTAGCTTGTTACCTGATTTTCGTCCCTAGTGCACATCACGATGTGACATTATCATATTTATCTGTGTGTATGTTCCTCAAGACCATGTGCCTGGATCTCATCACCTCGTGTCTCGTGATATCTCATCACCTGTTATATACTAGGCTCAGCACAGAACTGACACGTAGTAGGTTCTCAGTACATGAGCTTCCCCAGCCTGGAGCACATTATAAAAAAAAAAAAACCCCAGCAGAATAACCTGAGGCCCATAGGTATCAGGTGACTTGTGTGTGTAAAAATTATTTTTAAACTGGAAAGCTTAGGCCAGGTGCAGTGATACATGCCTGTAATCTTGAGACTCAAGCAGCTGAGGCAGGAAGCTCGTAAGTTCGAGGCCACCCAAGGCTGCATAGTGAGTTCAAGGCTAGTCTAGGCATATAGTGAGACCCTCTCAAAACAAAGAAGCAAACAAATCAAAAACAATACAAAACAAGCTGGATGTGGTGGCACAAGCCTATAATCCAGCCTTCTCAAGGAGGTGGAGCTAGGAGGATCTCTGTCCAAGCACAGCCCTGAGAAGTTGAGACCCTATCTCAAAAGCAAGCTGGGTGTGGGGGTTCACATCTGTGGCTTCAGCTATTCAGGAGCTATAGCTAGGAGGATCACCGTGTGAGCCTGGTCCAGGCAAAAGCAAGAGATTACCTGAAAAAACAAACTAAAAAAGCAAAAAGGACTGGGGATGTGGTTCAAGTGGTAAAGCCCTTGCCTAGCAAGTGTGAGGCACTGAGTTCAATTCCCGGTACTGCAAGAAAAAAACCAAAAAAAAAAAACCTGGAGAGCTAGTCCTGACCGTGGTCTGCATGCCCTCCACAGCTGCCTGGGCTCAGGCCTAGCCAAGGTTACTTGGGGTCTGGCAGCAGAAGGCATCACTTGATCATCTTCCCCTCGCGCCACTTTCACATGGTGTTCTTGGCCCAGCCTTTAAGGGCTTTGACCCCAGTCCCTCTGGGGCCAGTTCAGTTTGTCCAGCTTGGGGCATTTAGGGTGGAGCCATTCCAGGAGGCACCTCACTCACCCTCAGTTTCCTGATGCAGTAATGGGAAGGAAGACTTGGGAAGTTAAATGAAGCTTAAAGTCTAGTCTGGCTTCCTCTACTTCTCTCCTTTGCTGGGATTTCCCACCTACAATGGCCTAGCTGGACCACATGTGGCATCTTTGAGAGCAGGAACAACACAGTAACCCCTGAAAAGATCCTGTGCCTCCCTCCTCCCTCCATTCCTAGAATTTGCCTGAGTCCAGCCTATCTCTTAGAGCTTCCCATCTGTCTTCTAATTTGATACATGTCTGTCTATAGTCTGCTGGCTGGGTGACCCTGGTCATGTAGCCCCTCTCGCTCCTTCCCCAGCCTCCTCATATGTTCTGCACTCATCATGCATACATTTAATCACCCAATTGCTAATTCACTCACTCTCTCCCTTCTTCACCAGCACACTTGTTTATTCACTCATTCCCTCTGGCTGAAGCCCAGGACCATGTCTGGGCATAGACTGGCCTCAGATGGGATTAAAATGCTCATACAAAGGCAGAATAAAGCAGCAAGGCACGGGGCTCTGTGCTTGAGAGGAGCCCCCAGAATCGAGGCAGGGAGGTCTGAACAGCTCTCTCAGTTTTACAGGTGGGGCAAGGGAAGTCACTGGGCCAAAGAGGTGAAGGCAGCTGCTCCTGGGGCACTCCTGGCCTGTCCCCCATAGAGGAGTCAGCTCTCCCAGCCTGACTGCAACAGAACACCATGCTTGCCAGTTCTGAGTTGGTGACCCTGGACCTGGGTTAAAATCACAAGAACAAGGCAGAGAGTTAATGCCCTGAGGGACCTGGACATGGATTCAGAAGGACTTACACAATCAGGGTTGGAAAGGCAGTCCCTGCAGAGATTTCCAAACCTTTGCGTTTATTTCCATCCATACGTTTACTGTATGGATGCTGGAGGCTTGAAGCCTGGTTGTGTGCACCACAAGTGGGTCTGTGGGTAGCACTAGAACCCAAATAACAGAGTCCAGCTTAGGGTCTCTGGCTGTATCCACTGTTCAGAGATCCTGGATATCCGAACACAAGGGAAGCCCCATTTTCTTAAGGAGCAAACGTGAAGATTTCTTTCCCCCAGTGTTAGAGCATTAGAAGTGTGTTAGGCAAGCATCCCACCACTGAGCTACATGCCCAGCCCCTAAAGTTAAATTCTTTAGCATAACATATTAAGTTTGAAAAATTACTCTTTCCACTCCATTTAGGAAGCAAGTTTATGCAAATTCTTAATCCTGCTGACTGACTGGTGTAATATAGGGGTAATGCATCTTGCTAGAGCTTTGTCATAAAGAACGGTGTTGAAAAGCACTGCCTATAAGGAAGACAAGTTAGGACCTGCATGTGGCCTAACCCCTTCCCACTGGACTTCTGGCCCCAACTTCAGTTCTCCTTGCCCCACAACAAGCTGTTTCATTTCAGGACATTCTTTCCTTGTTCATTTCACAGCGAGGCACCCATGTTGCAGAAGTGATCTGTGTGCATTAAGAGGCCCTCAGCAGGCAGCAAAGAGGCAGTCTGACCGCAGGTGACCTGAAAGAATTATTGATTGCCCTACTGTCAAGTGCACCAGTTGCCAAAGGGAAAAATCTTTCCTCTAACTGGCTCTGCAAGCTGGGCTCTTGCAGAGGTAATCATGCAGAGCTGAAATGACAAACAGAAGCTGGCTGCTCTGTCCCTGGACAGATGGATCACCTGATGCAGACGTTGAGTCCCAAACCCTGGGATTGGCTTAAAACACAGCTGTGTTGACCCAGCAGCTGGGCCCTGGCACCTTGTCAATCTGCCATCGGCTCTAAAGCCTAGAAATAGTGCTGGGGCAGTCTGCTGGACACAGTGTAAGAGAAGGCAAACATGCAGGTGTTAACCAAGCGCTACCCCAAGAACTGCCTGCTGACCGTCATGGACCGGTACTCAGCTGTGGTGCACGACATGGAGCAGATGGTGATGATCCCTAGCCTTCTGCGGGACGTGCAACTGAGTGAGCGTGAGGGCCAGGCCCACGAGGGGGCCTCTGATCTCTACAGCTACTTTATCATGCTCAAGACCATCCGTGTGGAAGTGGATCATGGGTTGCTGCCGAGGGAAGAGTGGCAGGCCAAGGTGGCAAGTGGCAAAGCCATTGAGGCTGAGAACGAAGCTGTAGAGAGGGAGGAGGCTCAGGAAGAGAGGATATCGGAGCTGGACCTGGAAGCCCAGTTCCACCTGCACTTCTCCAGCCTCCATCACATCCTTACCCACCTTACCCTGAAAGCCCGGGAGGTGACGAGGAAATACCAGGAAATGACTGGACAGGTCTTGTAGCCTTTGGACTCTAGGGCAGGTAATGGTGGCCATGCTAGTGGGTCAGAGTCCTTGGAGGGGCATTCCAGGGGAGGAGAGGGAGTGGTGGTACAACCTAGTGGGAGGGAGACAGCTTGGTCTCAGTCAGAGCCACTCTCATATCAGGGTATTAGAACCATCACCTAGGAGGGCCCAAGCCTAATAAGCCTTCTGATCCAGTATTGGTGAGTAATGGCAATGAGCCTCTTTGGAGACAAGGGAAGGAGGCTGGTGAGCACTTATGGGCACATACGTGTTTGTGCATGTGTGTACTTACAAGTAAGTATATGAATGCATGTAAATATGTGATTTCTCTTTCTTGACTTCTTTAAGAATCTGAGTAAAGCTATGAACTCTTCCCAGAGTTCAGGCATATAGCCACATAACTGTACATATAATTCTTGGGGATAAACCATCCACAAATCTTAAGAACTCTGATGTCATATATTAGTACCTTCCCTTTGAGCACGTAAGTGACAGCACAGCCTCCAAATGCTTGACACAGAATTATCTTACTCAATCCTCACAATAATCTTACAAAGATGACATTTTTGTTTTGCTTTTCTGTACTGGGATTTTGAACTTAGAGCCTTACTTACTAGGCAGGGGCTTTGTCACTTGAGCCCCAGCCCTGCCTCTCTTATTATTTATTTATTTGCTTTTGGTGGCACTGGGATTTGAACTCAGGGCCTCAAACTTGCTAAGTAGGTGCTCTACCACTTGAGCCGCCAGCCCTATTTTGTATTGGGTATTTTTGAGATAGAGTCTCAAGAACTATTTGCTTGGGCTGGCTTTGAACTGTGATCCTCCTGATCTCTGCCTCCAGAGTGCTAGGATAGGTGTGAACCACTGGCACCTGGCTGTTTATTTGAGACAGGGTCTTGCTATATAGTCCAGGTTGGCTTTGAACTCATGATCCTCTTGCCTCAGTCTCCAGAGTGCCAGGATTACAGGCACCATGCTCAGTTGCCAAAGATATTTCATTACTTCCATTTTGCAAATGAAAGCACTTAACCAAGGAGGTGTATTTACTTACGTGTGCGTTGTGAATTCTATGTGTGTGTGGTAGTCTTTCCAGCACTTTTTTAAGTCATAGAACATGAGGTACAAAGGTGAGGCTGTTCACAGCACTCCTGCAATTGGCAGAATTGCTCTGATCATCCCAGGTTGCAACCAAACAGAAAGCTGAGGGACCACGAGCTTGACACTTGACTTGCTCCAGGAGCACTAGGGTGAGGCCTGCCCACTGGGAAACCCTGTTGTACGTATTTGCACATGTGTTGGAGTCTGAGACGGTACAACCACACAGAGGGGCTGGGGTTGTGAAGTGTGAATGACGAGCAAGCTACACAAGCAAGTGGTGGCAAAGGTGGTAGGACAAGATTTGTCGCCCCATTTATTAATAAGGAAATTAAAACCAGAGAGGTGAAGTGACTTACCCAAAGTCACACAGTAAGAGGATAAAAGCAAGACTAGATTGAGTTGTAGTGCTTCACATCAATAATCCCAGCATCCAGGAGGGTGAGGTGGGATGATTGTGAGTTCAAGGCCAGCCTAGGCTACATATTGAGACCTTGTCTCAAAAAACAAAGTAAAACAAAAAACAAGAAAGAATAAAACAGCAAGACTGGCTCTACCTTTGAGCTGAGTGTTCTTTCTGTCTTACCAACTCTCTGCCACTCTGGCATGGTGGGGAATAAACACAAATGCCTTCTCTCCCCCCAGAGCCTGTAGTAAAACTCTGCTCCAGCTACTTTCTCCACCTAGAATCCAAACTGTCAACTTCAACCCCATTTCCCTCTCCCCTTGAGGTTTCCTGGGCTGCCTTCCAAAGAATTGAACTAGACTTGGTCAATAGCCAGGGAGCCTCAGGGGAGCTGAACTCTCAGGTCAGGTCCTGCTACCACCACTGATGTGCTTTGGGGCTGGGTTCAGTTCCTTCATGACTATTACTATAGTAATAAAAATAACAATTGGTATTTTTGTTTTTTATTGGTAGTACTGGGGTCTGAACTCAGGGATTTGCAGAGTGCCTGACACTTGAGTCATTCCACCAGCCCTTTTTTGTGTTGAGTACTTTCAAGATAGGGTCCTACAAACTATTTACCTGGGTTGGCTTTGAACCCTGATCTTCCCGTTCAGCTAAGATTACAGGTATGAGCCACCAGCATGACAACAACTAGTATTTGAATAGTGTTTCAATAATTTGCAGATTACAATTTAATGAGTCATTACTTTTTTTTTGGTGGCACTGGAGTTTGAACTCAGGGCTTTACACTTACTAGGCAGGCGCTCTACCTCTTGAGTCACTTCTTCAGCCCTTATCATCACCTTTTACAGATGAAAAAAACCATAGGGCCTGAGAAGTAAAACTAGCTCCGAGGTACTCAGTAAATGGCAGAACCTTGGCCTAACTTTAGTCTCATTCTTTTCTTCCACTGATGGATTTTGTTTCTGAGAGCCTTAAAATTCTGCAGCCTAAGATACCTTAAAGCAACTGAGGCCAATAGGAAAAGGGGAACAGGTACTAGAGAAAAGGTTAGATCAAAAAGAATTAACCTAGAAGGTAACACCCACGCACAGGAAATCAATGTGAGTCAATGCCCTGTATAGCTATCCTTATCTCAACCAGCAAAAACTCTTGTTCCTTCCTATTATTGCTTATACTCTCTCTACAACAAAATTAGAAATAAGGGCAAAATAGTTTCTGCTGGGTATTGAGGGGGGGGGGAGAGGGAGGGGGCAGAGTGGGTGGTAAGGGAGGGGGTGGGGGCAGGGGGGAGAAATGAACCAAGCCTTGTATGCACATATGAATAATAAAAGAAAAATGAAAAAAAAATTCTGCAGCCTAGGCTAGAGGTGGGACTTAGGGGTGGCCAAGGGAGTAGAATTCCCATTCCTTGCTCTTTCAGAGCAATTCTATACCATAATACTCTTAACATAGCCTAACCTGATTTTCACTCATGGAGGCAGTATGGCACAGCAGAAGTTTAAAAAACTGGGCTCTGATCTTAGCTCTGCCATTGTCCTCTGTACTCTGTATGGTCCTAGACAATGTATTTTACCTTTCCGCTTCTCAGTTTCCATTAATGAAATGTAGAGGAGAAATCAGCCGAGTGATCCCAGCTCTGATAGTCTGATTTCTTGGATCTGAAATGCTGCCAGTTTTCCAACAGCAATGTCAACATTTTTTTCTCATTGCTCTTTCTACTTCAGTAGACATGTGACAGTACTTCAGTTGTTTGTATTTATACTCATTTGGCTTTTTAAACTTTTCTGTACTCCACAGATCACTACACCAAGAGAAGGTAGACTCTGTGATGAGGACTCACAGCAATTCATTGGCCCTGAAACCAGAAAGCCTAGACCTGCACCTGAGGAAGGCTACTTGTGTCTTTCCCCACCTCCTCTGAGCACCAGCTTGTGAACTCCAGTTACTGGCTCAACTTTAGGATGTTTGTTGCTGTTCTCAACTCCCTTATTCTCTTACCAGCTCAGGGTGGTGACCAATGGTTCGTGAGGGACTGAACAGTTACCTGTCTAGTGTGCAACAGTAAAAAAGAGCAAAGGTACTAGTACATGACCAAAGCTTCCATCCCTCCTCTTGGCAGTCATCTACAAGGTGACCTCAGGCAAACTATTCACCACTGAAGCCTAAATTCCCTCCTCTATAAGATGTGGATACTGCATCTACTTCACAAGGTTACGAAGATCAAACAGGATGAATGGAAAGCACATAGCATGCAAGAGCTAACAGGCTGATCCTTCTCTCCCACCCTCTTATTTGCTCTACTCCTTCCCTTTCATCTTCTAGAACTAAGTTGAACTCTGAGAGATGAGTGGCTCACCCTGCCGTACCTGCCAATCACTACTGGGGCTGCACATAGCTGAATTATTAGCCTATTTATTGCAGTCACAATAAAAAAAAACTTGCATTTTTGTACATCTCCTTATTTCTAAAGCACTTTCTCTGACATAATTTCACTTTTTACAAGTGGCACTCCAATGAATAAGAATTCATTTTATTTTGCCCAGTAACCATCTGCTTATATTCATACTGCCGCTCAATTTGCAATCAGGCATATAATAGTTTTACTAATCTCCAAAACATAATTTGATTGTAAAATCTAAGCTTGAAAACAAAAAGGTTTTGGATGCACATTTAGATTTGGTAAGTTATAAAGAACTCTGGACTGAGCATGTGGCTCAATCCCTAGTACTGTCAAAACCTTCAAGTGTACCAAAAGGAGAGGAAGAAAAAGAACTACCTCCTTCCCGGTAGATGCGATCATTTACTTCTAATTACATCCAGCTCCACCACGGACTGTGCTAGCTACTGAGTCATTTACTCCGGGTGAGCCATCTAAGAGCAAAGATCCCTTTGCAACATCAGACTTTTAACTGTTCTCCCTGTTGAGTCTCCTCCTTCCAAACCACCCTCTCAATTGTTGCAGTGTTCACAATTGCTACCTGAGTTATTCCAATTAAAAACCCTTTGGTGAGCTGGATGCAGAAATGCATGCCTGTAATCCCAGCACTCAGGAGACTGAGGAAGGATAATAGTGAATTTAGGGGCAGTCTGGACTACAAGAGGAGACCCTCTCTCAGAAAACAAAAATAAAAACACACCCTTTGGTGACTTCTCAATACTTACTGGATCAAGACAAAATGATTTTGGATGACTCACAAACCTCTCCTTAAGCTGGCTTGCTTTCATTTGCCTTGCACTAGAACAGGAACAGGCAAATCTTTTGTGAAGGGCCAGATCTATTTCAACCTTTGCAAGTTACTGTTAAAACTACTCAACTCTGCTGGCTGTAGCATTAAAGCAGTCACAAAATAAACAAATGAACTCTGACTTTATTGGCAGTGAGTCAGATTTGGCCCATGAACTGAAGTTTTCCAAACCTAACCCAGAACTAAACCCCATTTTATTTTTTGTGGTGCTTCAGATTGGAACCCAGAGGCTTGTGCATGCTAAATAAGCAACTACCACTGAGCCACATACTCGGCCCCAAAATGCCATTTTAAATCTTGCAAATGTCTTTGTAAAACTGGGTAGATGGAAAGCAACCTTTGTATGATGAACTGCTTTTTCATACAATAAAAAGAGTCAGAGGCCACACACCTATAATTCCAGCACTCTGCTGGCTGAGGCAGGAGGATCATGAGATTAAGGCCAACCTGGGATACACAGCAAGACCCTGTCTCAAAACCACAAAACAAAAAACCCCACACTGGGTGCCAGTTGCTCATGCCTATAATCCTAGCTACTTGGGAGGCTGAAATCAGGAGGATCATGGTTTAAGCCTTCCTGGGACAAAATGTTTGACAGTCCCTATCTCAAAAATAACCACAGCAAGCCCAGCACTGGTGGCTCATGCCTGTAACGCTGGCTACTTGGAGGCTGAGATTAAGAGGATCAGGTTCAAGGTCAGCCTTGGCAAATAAGACCCCATCTCCAAAATAACCAGGTGTGGGGGGAGGGGAGAAGGGTCTGTAGCTCAAGTGGTAGAGTGTTTGCAAGCATAAAGCCCTGAGTTTAAACCCCGGTACTACCAAAAACAAAACAAAACAAAAAAACAACAAAAAACCCCACAGAGTCAGAGTACTTATAATTATTTTTATTATAGGTATTGACACATCTAGATTAACATGTTCCATAAAATTCAGAAATGACAATTCTCAATGAAATAGAAGCAAGTGTTCTGAAGACTTCAACGCACTGGATAGAATTTTTCAAGAATTTCACCATAAGTTTTCTTATCTATAAAAGGAAAGATCATAAAAGACTTATTTTAAAGTTATGTTTTAAAAGTGATGTTTCTTGAGGATATAACTCAGGGTAGAGCACTTGTCTAGCACTCTCAAGGCCCTGGGCTAGGGGGCACTGCAAAAATAAATAAATAAGCAAATAAACAAAACTTGCATTTTTTTTTTTTAAAGAACACTCAGTAATCTTACTAATAGAAACGCTGCTATAACCTGAATGGTTTTGTCCCCAAAGTTGTGGCATTAATATTTGTCCTGTGGAGGTGGTTATGTTATGAGGGCTAAGCTGTTCAAATGGGATTAGTGCTTTATAAAATACATCAGAAGGAGCTTGTTTGCCCTCTTTCCCTTGTTTTGTTTGGTACTGGAGATTGAAACCAGGGCCTCATGCATAATAGGCAAGTGCTCTGCCACTTGAGTCATGTCCCCAGCCCCTGTGAGAACAGAGCAAGAAGGTGCCATCACTGAAGCAGAGTAAGCCTAGACACTGCACTGCTGACACCTTCACCTTGTACTTTCCAGCCTTTGGAACTAGGAGCAATGCATTTCTATTGGTTATAAATTACCCCTCCAAGGCATTTTGTTACAGTTGCTCCAATGGATTAATACAAGCCCCTAAGAATTTCCTTGTCTTAAACTATGGCTTGTCAATCACTGATAGATTTTGTTCCATGAATCTGTGATGACATCCAGATGGTTGCCAGAGGGGCAAAGTGCTGCCCGCAGTACCTTGGCTGAAGGGTCTAGGAAGGAATAAATAAATAAGTGGAAGGTAAAATGAATGGCAAAGTGTTTCCACCAGAGGATAGGCAATTAACTCAGCCAGGGGAAATGCACCATCCTAAGGAGTCTGGATTTTATCCTGTGAGCAATCAATAGTGATTTTAAGCAGAGAGATATAACCAAATATGCTGTTGGCAGAAGTAAGGCTGAAGGCAGAGGTGAGCTAGAGACAAGTGCAACAGTCTAAGCAAGAGACTATGAGATCCTGAGTAAGGGTAGTGGCTATGGGAGAGAGGATAGTTCAAAGCTGAGCAGGTTTAGGAAGGCAGAGGGGACATGAGTTTTGTTTGCTGTCCAAGGGATACAGAGGCACAGAGGTATCAGTCAGAAACTGGATATGTGAATTCAAGAGAAGATGGGCATTGTAATAAACGCCTATAATCCCAGCACTCCTAAGGCTAAGGCAGGAAGATCACAAGTGTATGGCCAGACAGTGCTATATAGCTAGTTCCAGGCCAGCCTGGGCAACAAAGTGATACTCTGTTTCAAAACAAACAAACAAAAAAACCTCAGGCTAGGGCTTTGCTCAAGTGGTAGAATGCCTGCTTAGCAGCACAAGGCCGAGTTCAAACTGTAGTACTGCCAAAAAACTAAAAACCAACCAACCAAACAAAAAACCTGGATATATGAATTTAAAAGATTCTGGTGTATAGATGAAGATGTAGGAGACAACAGAACATAGAAAATACCTGAAGTCTGAGACATGGACAAGATTAACCAGGAGAAATCATACAAAATAAAGAGGTTTTCTTCAATTAACTTGAAATACCTTTTTCACGAAAATCCTCCGGATGTGATTTTATATACCCAAACATGTCATGGTCCCTCGCAGCATACATATAGTCTTGACGTTTTAAAAGATAGTATCCAACAAAAAAAAAGGAAGTAATATATAGAAGCTGGCGATGCAAACCTGAAATTCAAAAAACAAATTCCAAAGAAATCAAAATCAGTGTGTATAAAGAATTATATTTTTACGCTTCATATGCATAATTTATTATTATAGCATTCTTTCCAACCAAAACCCAAAAACTCTTGTTTCTCTGAGACAGAGGCTTATAAGGTATCCCAGTTTAGTCTTAAACTCTGTATGTAGCCCAGCCGGCCTTGAATTATGATCTTCCTGCCTCACCCTCCTGAGTGCTGGAATTTCAGGTTCGTATTACCACATCTTGCTTAAAAAAAAGAGCAACATTAATTCTGTAAATATGACTATCAATAGAACCCAAGATTTTTTAAATTGAGGTTTTATAAAATACTGAATTAAAGAAGGTAAATATCCTGAATTCTAGATTAAGAACGGGAAAACAAAAAGTTTTTTTTTTTGCGTGCCAGTGGCTTATGCATGTAATCCTAGAGATCAGAAGGGCTGCAGTTTGAAGCCAGTCCAAGCAAGTAGTTCCAATTTCCTATTTTAGAAAATTTTCTATTTTGAAAAAACCCATCACAAAAAAGGGCTGGTGGAGTGGCTCAAGGTGTAGGCCCTGAGTTCAAACCCCAGAACAACAACAAAAAAAGTTTTTTCTTAAACCATGCACAATAGTGCACATGTAATCTCAGCTATTCAGGATGTAGAGACAGGAAGATTGCTAATTAGCAAGACCCTATCCCCAAAACAAAATATAAACAAAAGGGCTGGGGCACATCTCAAGTGGTAAGTACCTGCCTAGCAAGTACAAGGCCCTGAATTCAAATCCCAATGCTATCTTTGTCGCTCCCTCCCCCACCCACAATCCCTGGCAAATAAAAAAATTCCTTCATCAGGCATGGTGATGGCAGGCCTGTAATCCCAATGCCTGAGGGGTGAGGAAGGAAGACTGAGCTCAAGGCCAGCCTGGGTATACGATGAGACCCTAGTACAAAAGAAAAAGAGAAAAAAACAAAAAACAAAAAACCCTCACTCTGTTCTCAGATGTGTCTTCTAAATTTTGTACCATTTGCTTATTCAAAAATTGTGCTTTAAAAATCATCTTACTTATAGCTGGGTGCAGAGGCAAGCACCAATAATCCCAGCTATTTAGGAGGCTAAAGCAAAAGTTCCTTGAACCCAGAAATTCAAGGCCAGCCTGGGAAAATTAGCAAGACCCTAGTTCAATAAATAAATGAAATTTTTAAAAAAATCCTATAATAATGAGACTGGATCAAATCACAATATATAGAGAAAGCTGAAACTGGAAGTCTGGAGGAGTCTGAACTTTACACAGGGGAAATTTTTACAAATGGCTTGCTGCAGGTTTGAGTTCTACGTCATCTCTTCTCATCTTACATATATTCTTGGAGGACTCACTTATCTCTATGATTCTACCTACTATCCTCTGCTGATGGTCTGTAAGTATGCCTAACCCAGACACCCATGCTGAATAATACCTCCAAATGTTTGACAGACATGTTAATGTGAACACTCCAAACCTAATCAATTTGTTTCCTCTTCATACTTCTCCTTTCTCAGAGAACAGTAGGAATCCAGTCACAACACAGTAATAATCCTTTTTTTGTACCCTTTTCCCCCATACCCAGTCACTGCATCCAATGAATCCTACCTGGCAAATACTTCCTTTCCTTGCTTTGGGGAGTTTATCTCTCCTTTGTACAACCTGGTCTCCCTTTCACACAGAGCCCCTCTACTCTGATCCTGGCCTTTACCCTGTCACTAAAACCTATCTTGTCAGTCCCTTGTATCCCTCAATTGTGTCCAAGAGGAGTCCAGACTTTTGAATATGACCTAGAAGCTCTTTACGAGGCCGCACTTATACCTTTGTCTTCTGACACTCCCTGATATGCACACTGTACTCCAGCAATACTGAGCCACCTTTAATTCCTCATGTTAAGAAATAGCATGCACTTACTATTTCTGTGCCCAGCAACCTCCTCACCTTTCAAGACATCAATTCCTCTAAGTTTTCCCATGTCCCAGAATTAAAAGGATGAACTTATCTATCTTACTATGCAAATTGCTACATTAATTTGTCTCTACCATTAGGCAAAGTCCATGTTTGATTCATCTTTGTATAACAGTATACAGCACTTAATACATGTTGACTAAATTAATAAATGGCCTTGAGCATTTACTTACTACTTCAACTTATAACCTCTAAAAGAGATAATATCCATCCTACTTTTCTTGCAGTACTAGTATAAATCAAGACACAATGTGTATAAGGCCACCTTGGAAAATGTGGGAAGCAAGTATTCCATCTAGGGTTACAAGGCCCAGGTTCTTTTGCATTCTTCCTTATCCCAAACAGGCACTACTTCCCCTATATGGCTACCTACAATACAGCAAACCAAAGTGTGCAAGTCCTCCCATGTGCCAGTGGACCACATGAAGACCCAGATTTTACCTGCATGGACCCATAATCCTCACAGAGAGATGCATACAGGTTTGAGATGATGGTGTCAGCATCCCAGCCCTAGAGGCGTGGCCTGGCCTTTTTCCAAGTCTCCATTTCCCTAGCCTCTTCTTTGTCTCTCAGTGGTGGTCTTCCTCAACCACTTTCCCCTTTCTTCTTTTACTCCATGAATCTAAACCTGGAAGGCATCATGCTCTTTGTATAATATCATAAACTACTAATATATTATACTAGAAATTAATAACTATTTAATTTGTAGGCTATACTTAGATTACCAACTAACTCTAAATTTAGGGCAGGTAAATGGTAACCAGCAACAAAGGTTTTAAAAACTGGTGATGGGAGAAAAGCTTAAGAAAACAAAAATCGAATTAGTATTTTCTACTATTTAAAAAAAACTGCACAACTTTATTTCACTGACAGAATATTCCATTATTAATCATAGAAGGTTAAATATTCTCAAGGGCTGTAGTGTGAACATCCACCATCTATTTCTTTCCCCACTCCTCCAGTTCTCTTAGAAACATCATTTATGTGTAAACCTGTTAGCCTACCTGCATAAACTTGTACTACAATTTGGGTTTCAGCAGATGTGGCAAGCTGGTCTGTAAAATTTTGGAGGGTTGAGACCATGTTTTATACTTCCAATAAATACTTACAAGATTGCATCCTACTATATGTCAGACACTGAGCTAGACAAACACAATATGCACTGAATGAATGTTGCTGAGGAAAATGCTTTCAAGTCTTCAACATCTACATTTTCCAAAGCAATTTAGAAAAGTTCAGGGAACTCAGGAACTCTGACTCTTAATCCTGTGCTAAGTGCTTTATAAACATTACCTTATGACGCTCAAGTGGTAGAGCACTTGCCTAGGAAGTGTGAGGTGCTGAGTTCAAACCCCAGTACTACCAAATACAAAAAAAACCCCACATCACCTTATCAAATTCTCAGTCAGGAAACTTCCCTAAAATCAGATGGCCAGTAGTGTCAAAAACTCAATGTCATTGGCTCTTAACTACTATGATCTTCTGTCTCCTAGCAATGGTAACTTTGTAACAATGTGTTGAGACTAGGAGTATACACTTCCTGCTAAATGTCCTCTAGAACACTCTTCCTCCTATCTGTACCTTCTTTCATGTTCCCAAAGCACTCTGCTCATTCCATCTCTATCAAAGCATGCACCTATCACCCTGAGACCAAAAACAGACTGTTTACTTGCTTGTCTGACTTGACTAGAAGCTTCTTAAGGGCAGGGTAGGTGTTTCTCTCACCATACACCCAGTATATAACACCATGCCCGGCACAGAGAAAAGTTCAGTCAACGTTGAACAAACCTATGATAAACTGTTTGTATAATAAAGAGCTAAGAAAAAAAACTTCACCCAGCACCTTCAGTGTGCCAGGCATTTTACTTATGGAATCTCATTTAATCTCACAACATAAACATAAAAATTAATCTCATTTTATACATGAGGAAATTTTGGTTCTGAAAGCCCTGACTGGGTCACTTACCCAAAGTAATACAGGTAGGAAGTAGTGGAAGAAAGCCATTTGGCTCCCAACTAATTATACCAAGTGATAGGTTGGGGCAAATGTGGAATGATGAAGAGGAAAAAACCCCATGTCCCCAGAGGCAGAAATGGACACAGATCACTCCTTTCTGGGAGTGATGGGATCTCAATATGACTTGAGCACCGAAAATGCTGGGATTTAATGGGCTGAGAGCTGACCTCCAAGCATAACAGAAAGAGGCACAAGTGGGTGATTCCTAGTTGTCTGAACCACCATTAGCTTTCTTCCTAACTGGGCTTCCTAGCTTCAGTGAATGTTTCTCAGTGCTGGCAAAGATCACCTTTTAAGTCACAGGTGTGATCACTGCACTCCCCCAGCTCTCAAAAACTTGTAAAGTTCCAGCCTACCAAGAAAACCAATTGCCATCACCTACCTAATCTTTGCAGTTTTATTACCCAGCAGAGTAAGTAATCAAAGGCCCCCATTCAGAGGTCCTAGCCTACATTTGCCTTCCACTTGCCCCACAGGCCTAGAAAGTTCATTTTAAGTTCTGCCTGATAATCCAAGGTAAATTCAAAGACATCTCTTCCAAACTCTCCTCTTTTCCCTTTAGAAAAGTAGTCAGCACAGCTACTGTGTGTCAGTTGTCATCGGACTCTGATGAGAGGCCGATGACCTAGTAGGAGCGTCTCCTGGTCAAAGTGTGGTCCCCAGACCAGCGGCAGCAGCGCTGTCTGGGAGCTTTTTAACACCCTCGGGCCCTCCCCAGACCTTGTAAGTCAGAATTCACATTTTAACAAGTCTCTAGAGTATTCTTATGCCCAGTAAGTCTGAGAAGCACAGAGTTATTAAAAACAGTCTCTGCTACTTATTAGCCATGTTGACCGTGGGCCAGCTGCTTTACCCTCTTTTAGGCTCCGTCTCCTCGTTTGTGGATGACACCTCCCCATGAAGACCTAAATGCTTAATGCCCACAGTGTCAGCAGGGAATGGCAGAGAGAAGGGCGCTCAGATCTGCACAAAGCACAGTGAGAACTGGGAGGAGCAGTCCCGGGTCCTTCACAGACTCACTGTGGGATCCCCGTGCTTCGGTTTCTTCAAGTGCAATATGATAATCTGGCTTGGCCTGATTCCTCAGAGGTAAGCGAGCATAGGCAACCCGGGGAAGCGAGCTGACATGAAAAGGCCCGGAAAGCAGCGGTGCCCGGGGCGAGCCCCTGCGGAGCCGGTCCGTCATCCCGGCGTTCCCCCGCCGTCCCGGGAGCCCCCGCCCGCACACCCCTCACCGGCTATCACGACCGGCCTCTGCCGGAACGCGTTATCCACCAGGCCTGAGCAGTAGCCCAAGAAGCCCATATAGAGGAGCCGCGGGTCGTTCAGCTTGGGCGGGGGTAGGTTCCGGGCCTCGTCTGGCAGGAGCTTTAAGGGCACTCGGCCCGGCCGTCCGTCCATCATGGTGATGCCGTTCCACTTGAGGCCTGGCCTCAGACCTCCAACTTCAAGGAGAACCACCACGACCTGGACTAAAGAGCTAGCGTCCTTGTCCAAGCCCGGGGCTGAAGGACAGAGCGCATGCCCGTGCAGCGCCCAAACGCTTCCGGTGCGTGCGACCGCAAGAACCCCGCACACGAAGTTCCGGGCTACTAAATGGCCTGGGGCCGAGGTTATAAGTGAGGGTTTGGTCGCCTGGCACCACCGCGTGGAGGAATACGCCAACCGGGACAAACTGGCCAAGGACTAGGAGACACACCCAGAATTGCTCTCCCTCCGGCCCCTGAACCTCCCTTCACAAACGGCATTAATTGAAATTCCATAAAAGCTAGTTTTCTGGGTTTCCGGCTGCTCATTCGGCACAGATGCACCGTCCAAAGTCTAAAATTAAAATCCAGCCAGCAACAAAGGATTCAGAGAACCACAGGATTGTATCAATTAGCTTGAACTTGAAATTCAGCTTTGGAGGCAGCACCCTAAAGTGTTTCACTCTGGGTCATCAGGTCCCTGCGCACCTGAAGGTGGTGTGCGAGAAGGAATCTAAAACTTTCTGCCAAGTAATTGCCCAGTCTGCTCACCTACCTCAAATAAGGGAGCGCTTTCATCTTTTTAGAAAGTCCTTGTTAATACTGAGCTAAAATGCGCATTCATTAGTGACAACCGACATTTTATCCAGGAGAATGCTGACTGAATCATTGCAAAGGTATATGCATCAAAGATACTGATTTTCTGGATGAAAAAGCTAAATATCAGCTAAGAGTAATTAAAGAACGAGGGCTAGGGATGTCTCTCAGTGGAAGTGTGCTTACCTGTCAAGCATGAGGCCCTGAGTTCCTTCCACTCCAGCACTGAAAAAGAGGGATGAACTTTTTTTTTTGGGGGGGGTTGGGAAGGAGTTAACTGGGGTTTGAACTCAGAGCCTTGCACTTGCCAGGCAGGAGCTCTACCACGTGAGCCCCTTCCATCTCTCCCCCGGAGCAAGAATGGACTTTTTATGCCTATGCAGAAGCACCTCCCAGCCAGGGGTAGTGGTACATGTCAGTAATTACAGCACTAGGGAGGTGGAGGCAGGAGGATGGAGGGTTCGAGGATTTTACAAAGTGAAATCCTGTGTCAAAAACAGTCTGGTGTAGTGGCTCAAGAGGTAGAGCCCGCGAGGCCCTGAGTTCAAGCCCCAGTGCCACGAAAACAAAAAACCCAACCAACCAAACAAAAACATCCCTGATCTGTAATGTTTCAAGTTAAGGTGTTCCAAGGGGCTATACAGTACAAGCAATGTTTCAAAAATTCATACCCTTTGGCTCAATAATTACAGTCTGGGAATCTGTCCTGCAGAAATAGTATGGTATGAAAATAACTTTTTTGGTTGGGAGAGTGGCTCAAGTGGTAGAGCCACCTGCCTAGCAAGCACAAGGGCATGGATTCAAGCCCCAGTACAGCAAAACAAATAAAATTACGGTACAAAGTTTTTTTTTTTAACCTACAGTGTTCCTTTTTAAATTATGTGAAAAACACCAGAAATGATCTCTAGAAGGATTATGTACATTTTGAGTACCAAGTAAATGATCAGGCAAATGCATATTTAAGTGATGTTTAAAATGATGGTGCTAAAGGCTATGAAATGCTTATGTATTGAATGAACCAATTAAAGCTCAGCTTCTACATAAATCCTTGTGTAAGAGGCTCCACACAGCAGCCCAGTCCACCCATCCTCAGCACTGCACATGCTGGGACTTTTTTTTGAAGACAGGGTAAGTAGCTCAGGCTGGCCTCACTTGGTATCTTTTAAAAAGGAAGTTTAAGATATAAAAAATAAAGTTACAAAGACCAATATAACAAATATGCATATCCTACTACACAGAATTAGTAACTGTTAACATTTTGTCATATTTTTAGCTGCCCTCCACCTTTTTTATTTTTAAGGAACTGAAACTCTCCAGATAAAATGAAAGTTCCCTTTCCTTTCTTCCCTGGAGACAGTGGAAATGAGGGAAAACCTGAACAAACCCTCTAGCATCACTTTTTTTTTTTTTTGGCAGTACGGGGATTTGAACTCGGGGCATTGTACTTGCTTACCCTATCAATTCAGCCACACCCGCAGATTTTTTATTCCCCCTTTTGCTTTAGTTATTTTTTAGACAGGATCTTAAGCTTCTTTGGCTGGTCAGGGTCTAGGCCTCCCACCACAATCCTCCAATCTATAGCCTCCAATAACTAGGATTATAGAAATGTACCACCAAACCTACCCTAGTTACTTGCTTTTAGTTTACTTAAAAAATAACTAATCTTGGACTTGTGTGTGGCTCAAGTGGTAGAGTGCCTGCCTAGCAAGTGCAAGGCCCTGAGTTCAAACCCCAATACCACCAAAAAACCTAACAAAAAATTCTGAAGGTCACATAGCTGAGCAATATATTATCAGTCTCCCACTTAGTTTTATTATAGATAACATCTCTGACAAATGGGTTATAATGGTAAGAGTTGCCCTGCTTGCTTTTCAGGGATTAGACCTCTTTGTGGAAGCCACCCAATCTTCACTTGGAACTGCACAGGTGTCTGATGGATGAAATTTGATGTTAGGAGGCAAACTGCTGGACTGTGGAGAGAAACCTGGCCTCACAGAAGAGAACAAGCATGGCTATCTTCCAGATACTGTGAGTGTGTGCTTAGAACTGGTAAAGCTAGTTTTGTTTGTGTGCTTTATTCTGTGTTATAAAGAAAGGTCATGCCATTATCTTCTCAAATTTTAGCATCATTTGTTATGATATTCTATTCAGGATAGCACCAACATCACCACTGTTTTCCTCACTCCAGTGTCTGTTCTGGTTTTTGACTTCAGACCCTCCCTGGAGTTTTTCTTGGCAGCCTCATCAGTCCTTCTCTCCATATTTTTTATAATGCCAGCAAGCCTCAAAGTCTGGAATATCTACCTAGGCAAGAAAGGACCCAAGACTTAAGTGGCATTTTTTGGGAGCCCCAGGGAGGACGTGCAAAGACTTACCAAGCCCAGGAGTGATTAGGCAGATGAAGATTTTTTTTTTCTTTTTGTGGGACTGGGGTTTGAACTCAGGGCTTTGCACTTGCTAGGCAGGCGCTCTACCACTTGAGCCCTGCCTGCAATCATACAGATAGAGTTTCACTTTATGCCCAGATTGGCCTGTGCTGAGATCCTTCTATTTTATACTTCCCACTGTAGCTGGGATAACAGGCACTCACCACCCCAGTTATTGTTTGAGATGGAGTCTCCAGAACTTTTTGCCCAGACTGGCCTGGAACTATGATCTTCTCAATCACAGTCTCCCAAGTAGCTAGGATGACAGGTATGAGTCACTGGTGCCTGGCAGATGAGGACACTTTCTAACTGGTACTCAAATAGTTGGCAGCTCTCACAAACTATATTTTCATCATTTGTAATATTTATATGTTCACTTTGATAAATTAAGGATGTTCTTTTTTTTTCTTTTTGTGGGACTGGGGTTTGAACTCAGGGTTTTGTACTTGCAAAGCAGGCACTCTACTGCTTGAGCCACACCTTCAGTCCATTTTGCTCTGGTTATTTTGGAGATGGAACTATTTGCCTGATCTGGTCTTGATCCAAGATCCTCTGGATCTCAGCCTCCTCAATAGCTAGGATGAAAGGTATGAGCCCCTGGTGCCCAGCCTAAGGATGTTTTACAGCATAATACTCTTTGCATACAGCTAATCAAACTGTTCCATCAACGCTTAGAGTAACAAATTTCTAAGGAATTGGCATAGGAACAATAACAGAGAGACTATATTAATAGCCCAAACTTGATAAGTTAACAACATACATTTGCAGACTATTTTCCTTGTCCTACAAGGCTCCAAAGAACTTTCAGTAATCACGTTAGATAGACCCTATAAATAATTAGAGATCAGTTTGCCAGCTAGTAATGATTATGTGGTTCTAGTCTGCATGGCACAATCTTCCCTTTTTTTATCATTACAAATATTGTCTATGTTGTCCTTCAAAACTTTGAGGCCCATAGAGATAGTCGTGTTGCAATGAAAAAGCAATGAGACTAAAAGTTTTGGCTGGCCAGGTGCCAGTGGCTCACGCCTGTAATCCTAGCTACTCAGGAGGCAGAGATCAGGAGGATCTCGGTTTGAAGCCAGCTTGGGCAAATAGTTCTCAAGACCTAATCTCAAAAAACCCATCAAAAAAAAGTGGAGGAGGTGCTGGTGGAGCAGCTCAAGGTGTAGGTCCTGAGTTGAAACCCCAGTACCAACAACAAAAAAAATTTGGCTGAAGGACCTAAGCATCTGGTGGTGCCATATATTTGGGGTAAGTAGTCTGTCATAAATGTTTTGCTGAAGAAGCAATTTTTCAGAAACAAAATTTCAGAATTTTAATTTTTAGGAATTCATGGGAAATTTTATTCTTAGCAATTATCTTTTGATTTTTATACACAGATAAGTTTTATTTAGGTGAAAGTTGGTTCTCAAGTCATCACAGTTACCACTTTTTTTTTTTTTTTGGTACATGGGGTTTGAACTCAGGGCCTTATGCTTGCTAGACAGGCACTCTACCAATTGAATCACTCCTCCAGCCCTGTTTTTTGCATTAGGTTTTTTTCAAGATAAGGTCTCACAAACTATTTGCCCATGCTGGCTTTGAACTACCACCCTCCTGGTCTCTGCCTCCTAAGTAGCTAGGATGATAGGCGTGAGCAACCAGCACCCATGTATTTGCCATTAATTAAAACTTGTTACTATTAGATCTCTTGATGTTATACCCTGTTCCTAAGAGTCATGATACCGGCTTTAGAATCATAAGAGATTGTCAGTAAGATTATGCCTAACAGTTCCTTTTAAAAGAGTTCTGTTTACTTTTAATGAAATATGAAAAGTATCAGTCTAAAAATAAAAACATCAGTAATCACTAGGTCACTTTTCAGTAACAGTTCAAAATGATGAGTTTATGGTAATTTTCAAGGTCCTTTTGCATTGCAGCTAATTGGTTCTATGAGGTAGAGCAGTCAGGTGACAGGTAATGAAGAAGTAAAAAAATATTAGTCCTGTCCTAGGGCATGCAGCTGGACAGTGACAGAAAAAAC